GTAGATCTATATAACACATTTAATGATATATAGCTGTATAGAATACACCTAATCATATGTAATCTACATAATACACTTAAGATTTAGTAGATGTCTATAGAATACACTTAATGATATGTAATCTACATAATACACTTAATGATATATAGATCTATAGAATACACTTAATAATATGTAATCTACATAATACACTTAATGATATATAGATCTACATAATACACTTAATGATACGGTAAAGACTAAGAGAATACACCTAATGATATGTAATCTATAGAAGACATCTTAATGATATATTAGCCTGTAATAGAAATACACTTAATGATATGTAATCTACATAATTGACACTTCATGATATATGAAGATCTAATAGAATACATTTAATGATATGTAAATCTACATAATTACACTTACATGATATATCAGATCTATAGAATACACTTAATAATATGTAATCTACATAATACACTTAATGATATATAGATCTACATAATACACTTAATGATATGTAAACTAAAGAATACACCTAATGATATGTAATCTATAGAAGACACTTACTGATATATAGGTCTATAGAATACACTTAAGATATGTAATCTAATATAAACACACTTATTGATATATAAATCTAATAGAATAACTTAATGATAGTGCTTCTATCATAATACACTTAAGATATATTAGATCTATAGAATAACGTTAATGATATTAATCTTATAATACAGCTTATATGACTATATAAATCTATAGAATACCACTTCACATATCCATATCTATAATATAGAATACACTGTAATGATATACTGGATCAGTAGAATATACACTTAATGATAATGATATCTATATACTACACTTAATGATATCATAGATCTTATAGATACACTTAATAATTATATAGTACGATATAACTACACTTACATTGATATATCAGATCTATAAGAAACACTGTAATGATATGCAAGCTATATAACTCACTAAGGCATATATAGAATCATATAGAATTACACTTAATGATATGCAATACTAATATAACTCATCTTAATATATATAGAAGCTATAGCAATACACTTAAGTGATAGGTAATACGATATAGAATACACTTAATGATATATAGATCTATAGAATACACTTAATGATATGTAATCTATATAATACACTTAATGATATATAGATCTATAGAATACACTTAATGATATATAGATTTATAAAATACTGCTTATGATTATGTAATCTATATGAATAACCACTCTTATTGATATTATCAGTATTTAGTCTAAACAAACCTGTAACAAGAGCAATCATCTTATTGGTATAAAAGCTGCAGTAAACGAAAGGCTTGTTATCTTGACCGCTATCACGCACGAGAGTGACGTAAGAGTAGAAGGGTCGATGTGCTGCAGGATTGTGTCTGCTGGAGAGCGGACAAGAGAGCGGAAAGTACGCCCCGTGAAAGTCCTTTATCACCGAGATTGGCCATGCAACCAGGACAACTGGTTGAATTCTCATATCGGCCGACATGAAGAGAAAATATTGTCATTGATTTGCGTATCTCACCACGAAAGCGCTCTGCCACCACAGTCGCCGCCGCCACCGCCACCGCCGCCGCCACCGCCACCGCCACCGCCACCGCCACGCCACTACCACCACACCACCCACACCACCACCACACCACCACCACCACCACCACCAGCACCACCAGCACCACCACGACCACCACACCACCACTACACACCACACCAACACAAACAACAACAAACAACAACAACAACAACACAACCACAACAACTCCACCACCACCACCACACACCAAACAACACACCACCACCACCACCACCACCACCACCAGCACCCACCCACACCACACCACCACCACCGATCACCACCACCACCCATCACGCCACCACCACCAGCCACCACCACCACCACACTACCACACACCACCACCACCATCACCACCACCACCACCACCACCAGCACCACCACCACACGCACACCACCGACTACCACCACGACCATCAACTACCACCACCACACCACCAGCCAGCACAGCACGCAGCAGCAGCAGCAGCAAGCAGCCAGCAGCCAGCAGCATTTCAAACGACACCATCACACCACCCCACCACCACCATCATCACCAATTGGTCGTCGCGTCTCGTTCTAAAGTTATGAGAGTAACACACGCAGAGTATTACACGCAGAGTAACACACGCAATACAATAGATAGTAGATGATGTCGACACTTTATAGGTGTAGAGTCGATAGAATTCATATGATAAAATCTTTACGCTTCTACTAGTGTAGGTATATATCAGTTTACCATGTTAAAAAGCCTATACTGCGCTACACTCTCGAATGATCTATCGTACCTGCACCACAACATTACCGTACCGTATACCGTACGGCTATTGTACTGTGATAGTGAAATTTATGAAAAGATTCCCTAATGTTTTCTCTATACATGCATATTTTCACATTTACAGAACACTTCTGCACAATGGGATCTTTCGCCGTCATCACCTTTCTGTGCGCCCTGGCATTTGTAAGTATTTTTTATCTTGCATACTCGCGTGTATATTGAATTTGTTCGACTAATATAAATAGAAATATTACATGTGAGATTTATCATTGCTGTTGGTATTGATTGTCAAGGATGATATGTAATTCGGGGTTTAGCTGATAGGTATAAACACCCGCTGTGCTACTAGAATGCCAATAATGAGTACTGTACACGCCATATTTTTCGCGTACAGATATTTTCGCGAATTCAGACTTGACGGACAATTTCGCGAGTGGTTAATTTCGCGGTCGGTGAATTATGAATTATTCGGTGTTATTCTGTATGAATTATTCGCGTGTTGTTATTTTCGCGGTCGGGGCCGCGTTCGCGAAATTCGCGAAAATTGAACCACCGCAAAATATACAGCGTATACAGTGGACTGTGTAGAGTTTCCGTAGGTCCGCGAAGTGTTTAATTTCATGCTGTTGTGATAAAGGTTGCTCTTGGGCTCGTGAGCGGAAGCGCTGAGAGCTATTCCGAGATCGTGCCTCATCCGTACGCCTACGTCCAGCAGTCGAACACGAATAGGTTCCGAAGCCTGTTCCCACGCCGCTCTGCTGGCTACCTTGGTGGTAGAGGGCGACCAGCTCCTAAGATTCCCTTCTTAAATAAACTAAATAAAGAAATAATGAAAGAAACTATTAGATGGCTCTTTTTGGTATTTCTATCCGATCGACTCATCTTAAAATCATTCAATATGATCGTATTAATTCAGTCATCGATTACTTCGTGACGTAACGACTCGGTGTTTGAGCACCGCGTTATCTTTAAATCATTCAATATGATCGTATTAATTTAGTCATCGATTACTTCGTGACGTAACGACTCGGTGTTTGAACGTAACGACTCGGTGTTTGAGCACCGCGTTATCTTTAAATCATTCAATATGATCGTATTAGTTTAGTCTTCGATTACTCGTGCTGCAGCGGCTCGGTGCTTATGCCGCCGGTGTCGGACGATCAGAATGTTCCAGATGGTGTCGATGTTCTCGTTGTTAACGGCCGACGCGTGTACCAGATCGCAGCCGCTCAGTCCGCCGACGACGACGTCATTCTCCGGCTCGTCGCCGAGGTACCTGTTGCAGACGATGACGATGTTACAGCCGTCAAGGCTTTCCTTCAGCTCACGGATGTCTTCGACAATGTCGCACACGACTTCGTACGAATCCGGTTTGGCGGGAGAGTAGACGAGCAGGAAGGAGGAGCAGCGGAGGATGTTAAGGCGGTAGATCGGCGGGAATTCGCACGGGTCGCCCAAATCGGTGATTTCATAGTTGCGCGAGCTGCGGCCTCGGCGCACGGGCACGGTGACAGTGTCCTGTAACGTCGGTTTGTATGAGGAAAGCGGCGCGCCGAGTAAACGATTGCAGATGTCCGTCTTGCCAACCATCGATGAACCCATGATTGCTATCTTGTGCACGTTGCTTGGCGCGGTGTACGCGTCATCGTTCGAGCAGCTTGCTATGTAGTCGGTAGGGATCGGTGGCGAGCCGCCGTTGTCCGCCAAACCGAAGCACTGGGAAATCATGCTGCTTCGATTCTTCGGTTACTATTCTTCGTTGGGTCGCTGTTTAGGTAAAACAGCGCATAAAATTATAATTATGGTCATGATGGTTAGTGGGTTTGGCATCAAGAACCCCGGACAACGTATAGTCCAGAGAGATATATGCAGATCATACTAGACGCGGGTGTTATCACGTATAACATGAGATATATTAATAGAAAATATGCAGATCATACTAGTTGCAAGTATCGGCTCTCCATTAAGGATACAATCAGGGTTACGGACAGGTACCTCTGCAAAGAGCACTGCGACATAACTGCTCATCAAATTCAATCAAACTCATATCTATTTAATAAAAGAATGTCCCTCTATGCTCTCGATGAAACTAATCAAAAAAACTTCATCGCTAATTACGTGACGGCAAAAATTGTTAATTTATATAAAAAATTTGTTTTTGGGTGAAATCAAAATGGTTCAATGGAAATTTTGAGGTGAAAAGGGGGGCCATAACCGCGGCAGTGCGGCACATACCTACCATGTAATATATAGGGAGTGCCCCCCTCCCCCCCGGGATCAACGCAGCTGTAGCAGCGTTTCTGATTCGCATGCTGGGGTGGCACGTACGTAGTATATTTTGGGATTGCGCGCGCTCATGACGTCACTATTTAAAAGGCGTTCCAGGGTTTGCATCAAACTGCATGCAGCGCCCCCTTCCCATACTCAGGATAACACCACTGAACTAAAACTAACTTAGTTAGTTTAGTTCAGTGGATAACACTCTAACCTGTATAATACCAGTCGTCATGTTACGCTTGACTGCGTTCGCTACACTGACGCCTGTAAGCGAAGGCAGCCTAAACAGTTCGCAAACCTCGTTATCGAATAAACGCAGAACGAGGCTAAGCAGGCCTAGACTAGTACCCGTTCGCCACCTTCACACATAGGCCTTGGTGTAGCGTGTGAAACTGTCGACCGGGTACTAGTCTAGGCCTGCTTAGCCTCGTTCTGCGTTTATTCGATAACGAGGTTTGCGAACTGTTTAGGCTGCCTTCGCTTACAGGCGTCAGTGTAGCGAACGCAGTCAAGCGTAACATGACGACTGGTATTATACAGGTTACCTAGTTTCTGGTGCGA